TTGCCTGTGATTACTTTGCACAGCTGGGGCAGTGCCAGAAGTTTAACTTAGGCTTCCTGCATCTCAGTCCTGTGCCTTGCAAGCATCCGATTGCTTCGCGTGGCTCCTTAAATTTGAAAGGATGGTTCCTGCATAGACCTGCAATGTTTTTTTTTTTCCTCGTCCTATTCGTAGGACTTGTATTCTGCAAGTGGATTGTCATCTCAATATCCTGGTTGTTGGGTATCTTCCCTATGAATTGGCCCACCTGGAACATAGACCTGCTATTTACCTGGTAGTAAAGAAAAGGCAGCTGGGTGCCGTTTCCCTCAAACTCCTGGGTCTGCCAGTTCCTGAGATGGCCTCATGTTGCTGTTATAGCCCTTTGCCAAGGTCATCCTTCAGTGGGCCGCTTTGCACCACCAGAAGCATGTGCGGAAGCTCACAGAGGAATCTGGGCCAGTGACTCAAGAGGGTGAAGCTAGCTTTAGCCTATTCAGACTTTAAACCCCATGTATGACCGGAGAAATGTGGTTTTATGGATAAAACAGTAGCCGTAAGGCTCAGGAGATCTTAATTCTTTCCAGATCTCTGCATAAGAAATACGATCTGTCTGTAAAATAAGGATGATGATGTTTTGTCTTGTTGGACCTGTAAATAACCCTATAGCTCAAGCCCTGTGAGGCCCTGAGCTTGTGACCTTTCCTTGCTGCTCCGATACAATGATATCAAAGCACTGATGCAAAAACATCAAACTGTCTGTATTTCGCCTGCAGTATTCACTCTCGAAGGGAATGTGGTGTTTTTGGCAGTCCCCTAACCTTTACTCTTTATGGCCTTTTACAGAGAGCATCGGCTAATAGTGAGAGCAGCGTTACTGCAAGCTGGGACTTCAGTGCTGCCCCTGGTGCTGTTGTTTGCTCTGATCTTTAGCAAATCACTTAATCTCGGTACAACGTTTGCCTTGCAGGACAATTTGGAGCTACGTTATTTTAAATTGCTCTGAGCTCCTGCATTAGCAAGTAGTGTGGTATGAATCCACAGAGCCGCCTGCGGTACCTCAGCGTGACGGACATCCCAGAAAGCCACGCAGTTGGTGGGGGTCTACGCTTTGTTCCCGCATGAATGAGGAAATCCAATCCTTGTGCACACAGCTCCTTCCCTTCTGCTTTTCCCCACATGTTTTTTTCTTGCTTCCTGTATCAATCTCCGATATAATCTGCCCCAGCAGAGTAACACATTCACACTCTCCCGGCTCCAGCAGCGTTTCTCAGTCAGGCAGGCCACAGCGTTTCAAGGCTTGCACAAAAATACACACGTCTTTTTCAGTTCTTATGATCCCATGAGACTAGGAAGGGAAACAGAGTGATACTGTTAGAAATCGTTGTCGTTACAGATAGAAAGCATGTTATCCAGGTTGCTCTCCAGAGATGATTAGATATTCGCCCTTTCTTGGAAATGCAGACCGTCTACAGGAGACTTTGCTTTTAAAACCAAGAAATGTCATCATTGTTTTCCTACTAAGCAGCTCTGCTGGCAGTGGTAATACTAGAAGCTCTATTGTAGGCAGTCCCTGGTGGCATTTCTACTCATGAAATTTCTTAACTGTGCTAGGAGTTGGCCCCGATGACGACTCACTGGGTGCACCTCCCACCACCCATGCTGACTGTGAGGCTGTGGGTCAGCGATTTGCCTCTTGGTGCTGCTATTTCTTCTCACAGTCGTCGTCTGTTTAGAAAGTCACTTCTTCAGGGCGGGGATGGCCCCTTGCTAGGTGCGCGGACAGCACTGAGGCCTGCTGGAACAAGGCCGTTTTGCCTGACACAAATTAGAATCTGGTTCCAATCTTCATCCTCTCCCAAACAGCGTGTTGTTAATTTGGAGTCAAAGATGACAACTGAGTTATGAGGTCAACGTTTTTATTAGTGAGTGCCCTTCTCTACGGGAGTCCCTTTCAGACTATGACTTGCTGGGTGGTTCCCATTGATTTTTTTTAGTCCCCTCGGAGATAGCAAGCACTACAGGCTTTTGGAGTTTGACACAAAGCTTAACGAGCTTTGGCGCTGTCTTCCAAACCCTTCTCTTCTGCCAACTGATCTTGGAAGCTTTCTTGAAAGTAAGACAGTTACTGTGCTCTCGAAGAGCTTGGGTTTGTCTGAGCTGCCGTGTTGCAAAGATCCCCATGCTTGCTAAAGGCTGTTGTCAGGCCCTGAGCGGTAGAATTGTCCCTCATCCGAAGAAATTGAGGTCTTTCAAGTAAAGCACATGTACACTGTCCCAAGGCCATTTAGATTGCCATCAGAAATATATGTTTTTAATAGAGCTGGCAGGAGCACCTCTCCTCAGCTGTGCCTTTATGCACTTTCCGTCACCTCTGGTTTTTTGCTTCCAGACTTTTTAACTGTTTGTGCTGAAGATTTTCCAGCCTGGTCAGTGCCTCAGGCTGGGGTTTAGTTTCCAGTGTTTCAAAAGGCACAGTTCAACTGTTTCACAGAACAAGGTTGGCAAAATGAGCTATTTTCCCACAACGTGGAGACGTTTTTCCTACCGCTCTTAACCAGTTCTGGCACCTCCAGGCTTTGGAACAAGAACTGAAGATCCAGCAAAGGGCTGTCATGGGTTCAGGCTGGTGCATTTAACCATTCTGTGAAGATACAGCGTGTTTCGCCAAGTTCTGAGTCTCTGAAAGAGTATTGTTTGCAAATGCTCTTTTGAGCGTTGCTGCTAACATCTCTGAAGCGAGTATCTGCTCTGAGCACGGTAGGTGCAGTGCTTTACTGGGGAGCTGGTGGGGGAGCTGCTGCCATGGTCTTTGTGGTTTAGGGAAGCACAAGCACTGAAAAGCAGTGCGTGGAAAGGAAGATGCCTAGCTCTTCCACTAAAGTTGGAAAAGTTGTCCTAAATATATACCTGCATTACTGTTTCTCTTTCTAGGAGCCCTGCTTCAGTCCTGCTCATTGAGTGGGGCAGAGCGCGACACCAGAAAGGATGTTTTCATGTGTCTCAGAGCTGTGCGTGACCCCAGGGACCATGGCAGTGTGGCAATTAAGGTCTTTTTCCGTGGTTTTGCTGGCCTTTGCGTGTGATGCTATCCAAGACTCATGGCAAGATCCATTCTGGCCTCCACTCACTTTTTTTAACATCTTATATCCTAACTATAGCTTTCCTTTGGCATGTGCTTTTTCGTGAAACGTGTGACAAAATCCATTGCTTGCACCAGTGTAAACTGCAGCTGCAGCTGGACCGTCTTCCTTCAGCAGAAGCGCACACAACGCTTACAGGAATCGCCCTGTAAAATACTGAGAGATGATTGAAAACAGAAGGTCTTTCTCCCAAACTGACCGAAATATCTGTAAGGAGGACCCTCCTGAGCTTTGCATCTTCCTCCTCCAAAAAACAAGCAGGAGAAAGAGAGGAAAGTGGAGTGCACCTTTCCCCTCTGGGTCAGAAAGGGTGGAGAGTCTACCAGACCTTGCTGCTGAAGAGGGCAGCGAGCTGGGCAGAGGGTCTCTGCCAAGGATCATGCTGTTCTGCCGAACGGGAATTGACTGTCAAGATGAAGACTGACACACAGCAATCAAAGCTCGTTCCCAAAGAAGTGTCTGGCTTGGAGGTTCTCCTTTTGTTTCCTGAGAAATTAAAAAGATGAAGATTCATGCTGCCAACAAAGGCTGGGAGATGTTAGGGGTTTTTTTGGCTGGGGAGAGAAGGCACTGTATCAAATTAAACTTGAAACAGAGATGCAAACGAGGTGATTAAGGCATTTCCGCTTCGCTTCCAGGGGAGCTGCTGGACTGTGTCCAGACAGAGGGAAGGAACAGACTGAGTTTATCAGCTTAACTCGGAGATTCGTGCTGATACTCACACCGCAGAGCTGCCTGAGGTCCTCAGCAGAGCATGAAGGCTCTGTGGTAGATGCCTTGTCCAGTGGCAGTCCCTGCGCTGAATTGCTCCTAACCAACACAAGGAAAACCGAGACATGCTGAGATGAAGTGTGGCAC